AAATTATCGTGAACTATGCCTTTAAGTAATCGACGCGAATACTGTTTCGACTGGACTTCGCCAGTTACTTGAAAGTAGTGTGAGACTTTAAGCTATTACCATACAACATAAAGAAAAAGCAAAGCATACCAGAAAGACAATGTAACCGTATGATATGACGCAATTATCGACGATATTAGTTACACCATCTCGTACCCAATTGTCGAGCACATAAATAGCAATAAATAGAACTATTGGACTGGCCCAAAACCTGAAATGACCCACATCCAGCTTGAGTTCTTACCAACCCCAAGGTGAATAAGATAATACAAAATAATTTATTATAGTTCTATAACTTTTTACTTTTTTATTCAGAACAATAAATATCAAAGTTATCAGAGAAAGGGCTACTAACAACGCTTCAAAGAAACTTTATTGGCGATCTATTACTACAACTTTTACCGTTCCCCTAGCGTAAATTCCGGGCAGCCGCGTGCCGGTCGTTGTTGGATGTCATCACTTCCCTAGAATGCGGCATTTTTTTTTTGCAATTACATTGGCTTCAGAAAGATCTTCTCCACCTCTCAACGATTGGCGATTTGTGGGCAAAACTTCGGCCTCGGACGAAACTCGAGCTCGCACTCGTGCTATCCGGACACTGTGCTTTCATCACTAACACTATCGAGATTCATCAAGCCCTTGCCTTCTTGACGGCTCTTATGCCGTAGCTTATCAGCACTTTGGCCGACGGTATCGCGTTCTGCGGTGTATGACAGTAGTTAAGAAAGCATTAAGTCGTTTTAAAATCTCCCCTTTCTTTTCTGAAAAGGCTGTTCTTTTTCGAAGAGGCATGACATCTCGTTGATTCGAAGAAGAAACATTGGCGAAACCCAATCAAGACAACTATTTCTTTTAAGAGCTCGTGAGATAAAACTATGGTGGTCTTCGAACCATCGCTTCCTCCAACACTTTCTAACTGATGGATTGGTAGCAATTTATCCTTTGATGAACTCTCTTTAGCAATTTATCTTGCAAATACATAGAAAAAAAAGACTTCATCTGAAGGATGGAAAAAATCAAGCAGCATAGACATACGAATTCATTTATGCAAGATATTGAAGCCTCACCATGGTGTTAGTAGAGTGACAAATGTGAAGTAGAACTTTTTCTTTCCTGGATATGCTCTCTGTGTGAGGTAGGAGTTTGTGGCGAAGAAGATATAGGCAACAATTCTCCATCCAGCTAATAGGAACCCCGGTATTGATTCTGATTGAAAATACACGAGCGCCGGATCGAAACCCTATAAATCTTCGTCATTAATTGCCTAATGAAAGGAACTCAACAAAAAAAACAGATTAAAACTATACTAAAATATTGAGCGCGACGAGTGGAGATGAAATGACAGGCGAATTCTTGAGAAAGAATGGTAGAGAGGGAAGCCTTTGCATCTGCTTTCAAGACCATTTCGACCGAAGTTTTGAAAAGCCGGAGGGCATAATTCACGATAAAAGCGATCTATGGGGGTATCCCGCTGGGATAAATCTGTGGCCCCTTCATATGTAACGCTGTGTGGTGGAAAAGCGGCCTAGATAGAGCGTTATGAAGGCTCGAAAATTGTCACGTCCCCATTCGTGGACGAGTTTCAACGGCATTGCAGAGGCTGTACCATTCACAAGGGAACCCATGTAGGAAGTTCAAACACTTACCGTGCCTCATAGCCCATAGTGAAAGGCAGTATTGTACACTTTTGGCTTGATGTAGATAGTTCAACCGAACTCAGCTCAACTATTGCAACGACTGAACCCTCGTCCAAATACCCCTTCCATGTTATTTCCGTCATGATAATCTCGTCCACCCTCTCTTTTTGCAACTTTTGCGGAGACTTTTTTCTTCTCCAAATCGGCGGACTTGGCCAGTATTAGCAAAAGCAGAAGATTTCAATTTTTTGCCGTGAAGGGTGTGATTCTAGTTGGTTCAAAAAATTGTGGTCAAGATCTTTGGAGAGCTTTGCAAGTTTTGCTATACAAGCTTTGAATGTGGCCTACCTTAATTTCCCAGAATAACATCCCTATGTAGGATGTAATAAAGAAAGATGCTAAACAGAACAGCGTGACGTTGTCGACCTGAATATAACAAACTATTTCTCTACTAGTTCTCTAACAAAATTTAGCCAGGTTTTCGCTGTTGCCATCCTCTTCAATGGGAAAATTAACGAGTTTCGACCTGAACCTTATCCGTGTGATACTCCAGCCCCACACTGTAACCTCGCAAAAGATACGAAAGGCCTACTCTTATCGATGAAACAACTTCAATGAGGCGAATTTCAGGGTGGCATACCTTTGACAGCTTCATCTTTGTTACATTCTGTCCTCTACTCAGTAGAAGAATCATGAATATGAAGAACATCTGAGCAAAACCCCTGAAATTCAGTTTTATAACGTTGAAAAACTTTTAGTTCACTGATTTGGCAAGCCTTACGTGAGAGCTCAGTGACACCACCATCTGTTATGTTAATAACTATTATTGACATATGTACAACTGAAATGTGTTTTATTTCAATTATTCAGAGTCGACTCCAGAGAAGTTTCAAGAAATGATCCCACCTTCCCGGATTGCACCGCTTAGGGAGTGTTCTCTTAAAAAGCCCTGCGTTACCATTTGATAAAAACGATGAAACCCTTCACCAATAGATATTTCTGCTTCAGGATGCGCCCCTCATTCGACTTCCATTCAAGCCCTGGCTCACGGGTGTGAAATCCCTGACTCATGGGTGTGAAAGTGAGCGTAGCACAACATTACAAAACCTCTGCCACCAATTTGGGATCGAATATGTTACAATATTGCAACTGTACTATACCGGGACTGAACAATTCTGAAACTGAATTCTATAATGTGAGCATCCTTAGTGGGTCCTGATAACTGGAACTTTTGCAGTTAAATTGAATCGAAATCACAAGATGGATACAAGAGTTCTAATGACCCACACAGCCCTATGGAAACATCGCATATCCGAAAATTGTGTCAGATGTATCTTTAACAAGACAAGATGCTACTCTACATTCTGGTTATTTGGTCTAGACATACGAGTAAAATAGGGGTTATGGTAATGGCCTGATATTAGTTACGAATAGAAGTCGCTTTTTTTCATAGATGCGGTCAAAATTTTGATGTCTATCAGAACTTCTCCATGCTCCATATTGCTAAAGCAAACAACCTGAACAATTGTGCCATCAGCTTCAGAAATGGAAATCCGATCCCATCGAGGGCATAAGCACCGTATGCAATCACCATCATTGACAAACCACAGACATCCAGTAGAATTGATTGTGTGGAAATACGGTATGTGTTGTGATACAGACGGCGAAAGCTCAACTGACCTACAAAAATCTCAGTATAGTCCAGCTCAGCTCTTTTTTGATCGCTATATATCGCTCGGATTCTTTCGAAGTTAAAACAAATCGCTTTTCGGAAAGCATACTCACATCCTATTATGTAGTTGATAACGAGTAGGCCGCACTGTAAGAGTAGGAAGAGTATATCAGTTGGCAGTATCACTAAAAACAAATGCATCACCAGCTATTATTACTATGACAGCTACTAATTCGTGTTTTCTGTTTTTCGACTTGCCATATTTGTATAGCTTGCAGTTTTAATGATTGCTTAGCAACAGCGCATTTAGAAACCCTATAATTTAGTTGACAATCAGTAGATGACGTCGAAACAGCAAAAAATGTAGAAGCAGAAATCGAGGTTTTGATTCGGTGACACTCCAAAGTTGGATTTGAACGAATTCCATACATATATGCGTCCAGAACGATGCAGAGGTAGCTGAGTGGTTAAGAGAGTCCGCCAAAAGCCGTGAGTTATCTCTCTACCAAGCAAAAATCATGTAGATTTACAAAAACGGTTCCAGCATCGAAAAGAAGCCGGCAGACCGATGGTGGAGGGACCTACTAATGAGGGATGTGTACAAATTCTTAAACGAAAACCATTGATAAGGCCAGGACGTTACCCGGAAGTAGCGCCCAAATTTTCGCGTCCGTGTTTTGTGGACAGTATGCGAGGTATACAAAGAACTGAGAGACCTCGGTCAAAGAAGTTAGTTCAAATTGGAAATCAGGACGTCAGATCGTTTACTGGCAAGTCCCAAAAAGTAGTAATCTCTAGGCGAATATAGTAGTAACCTCATAATCAAAAAAGTTACATTCAAATGACATTAATGCCCTCAAAAGTTTGGACAGAATCTTGATGCTTTAGACTAATTTGAAATGTAGCAGATACTCACACCACTCATCATCGGAAAATTGATAGCGGAGCACCTCGCTCGGTTCGCCGTTGGTCATGAAAAGTTGGTACTCGACATAAAGGCCAGACGTTTTGTTCTCGACATTCTCGTCTTCGCATGCCGATAGTGCCAGAAACCACCATCGAGACCGCATCGACCTGCAATAGTACAGATCTTCACAGTCTTTGGGTTTTCCTCCTAGATCCCACTGGAGAGAAACAGCTGAAGTACCAAGCAAGCTGCAGGGGTCGTATTTGAAGATCCTCTCGGCGAATTTCATGTAAGCCTTCTACTCGTCCAAGATTGCTATTCCATAGTTGTTCTACGATTAGCCCCAACACTATGATGAGACACGGGAGCTAACGTTGCCAAATGATTCGCTCGACTAGTCTGAGTTGATAGGAATGAGTCTTTTCCCTGGCAACTAATATTAGGTTGAGTAAAAAGTTCTGTTCGACTCTTCATCCCTTTCTATTTCATTCGATTTTAAATTTCGTAATACGTTATGGTAGACCGATCCCAAACCTGTACTTCAGACAGATATATGTATAAGCATGCCCTTGTAAGTGTTTGGCAAATATGACTTCAACCTTTTACTGTCGACCAAAGCTGTCTGAGAGCTATCGTCTATTACGAATTACTGTATGGGCATAATCCATCGACTGCTGGCGCAGATATCTCTAGTGCCCTCAGAAGAGANCCCTGGCAACTAATATTAGGTTGAGTAAAAAGTTCTGTTCGACTCTTCATCCCTTTCTATTTCATTCGATTTTAAATTTCGTAATACGTCATGGTAGACCTAACACAAACCTGTACATTAGACAGATATATGTACAAGCATGCCCTTGCAAGTGTTTCGCAAATGACTTCAACCTTCAACTGTCGACCGAAACTGTCTGAGAGCTATCGTCTATTACGAATTACTGTATGGGCATAATCCATCGACTGCTGGCGCAGATATCTCTAGTGCCCTCAGAAGAGACAACGTATCTCAATCCACGGGTCCTTTATGATGAAAAACCTTCAAGACAGCAGAGATGTGGACAGCATCCGAGGGAGCCGTGTCACTGGTAGGATTCTCAGGACACGCTCTACTTTGGATAACCTTCTGAGGGTTCCACCGTGACCGCCGCCATTATTAACGCGTCTCAGCTACAGAGTCTGATCGACGTTTTTCGAGAAATGTCCGCAGCAGGAAAATGTTTGCCTTCTCCTCAACAACGCTCGACCGCATGTTGCTAAACTGTCGCCAGAAAATTCGCAGATCATGGATGGGAAGTGCTGCTCCATCCTCCTTAATCACCAGGACTTGCCCCGTTCGACTATCATTTGCTACTTGCGCTGAAGTATCACCTTCGCGACAGAAAATTTTATGACTGTTAGGAATTCGAAACTAGACTCCTTAAAGGCACAGTTCACAAAAAAGTGGTTTCAGAGATTTGCA